CTTGGCCTTGGACTCGAGAGCGTCGTTTCTTTGTTCGAGCTGGCCGGCCAAATACGTCTTAAACATACCAAACACTTCGTTCGCTAAAGGGTTGGGAACACCAGAAGATATACGCGCTCCACGAGTGCTTTCATGAGATTCACCATCGCTACCAGAACCAGTCATTTTACGCAGAAAATCAAGAACACGTTGCAATAAAGACTGCGAGAGTGAGTGACGGACCTTGAATAATAATCACTTATATGTACTTCTAACTGCTCCCAAGGGAGCAGTCTCTGAATGATACCCTTAATGAACTATACACGCTTAACTGAACGTACTAAAGACTCCATAACAATAGAAAATACATTTTCATAATCATATGTCCACAGTTGTAAAATGTCAAAATAGTTTAAAAAATAATAGGAATTGTAATTTTGTAAATAATTGTTTAATGTAAAACAAATATAACAAATATAGTGTAATTTTATGGTGTAATGTGTTTATTTAAGAACTAGACGCTCTGGGAGCGTGAARTCGGACTAGCTGCTTGTGAAAATTGAGAAAGACAGGATATTACATGGATAAAAACATTTCTTAACTTTTTTTTCCAAAACAGCCGAACACGGTCTAATAAGAGCGTCTAGTTTAAAATATGCAAAATTTATTGAGACTTTAAATAAACTTGACCTAAAAGGTCATGTAATTAACGCGATAAGAACGTGGCTTGCTTTGACTGATAAAATCAACTACACTCAGACAAATGTCTCGCTAAGTGATATGATATCTAAAACGTTGACCTCTCAGGCAAAGAAAATAAAAACTTTACAAGTAAAAAGATGCCTATAAAATCATTAAATTCGCCTTTCTGTTATTGATAAACAAAGTTTCTTCTTGTTCTAATTTGAAATCTTTGCTCCCACAAGACTGTCTAACACTAGAAAGGATATTGATTCAGTTTTGTAAGCATACAACTCGAAACTCTATGCGATCTGCACATGTGCGTACTTCTAATGTCTAGACAGATGCATTCCGATGAGATCACAGATACCACATTTGTAAACGAATAGTTTTTTTGTCATATAAAASSCAAGTAGCATATAACATTTACTAACGATATTCGTACATCAGTACGCTTGAGATTCCGGTCTACAAATGTAATAACACAGCCAACCCAATAGTAACTTATTAAATTATTAACTTCCGGTGGTCCAAACGCGACATAATACATAGATAGATAGACTAAAAGGTAAATTTAAAGTCGGACCGCCTTCGGCTAGTCCGACTAAATATAAAACGACGCGCGTGTCTCTGTCCTCTGATATAAACACGGTGGGAATTCGAAAAACACGATAGAAGCAAGCTTAGGAACACGAGCGTAGCGAGTGTTTCTCTTGCTTCTCGAGTGTTTTTCAACCCCCACCGTGTTTATATCAGAGGACAGAGACACAAGCGGCCGTTTTATATTTCTTTTATAAAATTTTTCGAGCGAAAAGCAAATTTTGCCGGTAAGCCGTGTCTCTGTCCTCTCATATAAACACGGTCGTCAGCCAATCAAAGCGCGCGTTATATATCGAAAATTTTATAAAGTGTAATATAGGTTATGTAGTCAGTGCTTTTCAATAAATAAATAAAAATAAAAAAATTCATGTGATGACAGTATTTTTCATTCATATCAACAGTGACATGTGATATGCTTCCCATCGGCCTCGACGATGGAAACATTATATCAGACAGTAGATTCACGGCATCCTCATTCCTAAGCAATGAATATCAACCGTCCAAGGCACGATTAAGTTCTGATCGTGCTTGGGAACCAAACGGCAATGACAATGCTGATTACTTGCAAATTGATTTACCCAAGATGTATCTTATCTGTGCCATGGCTACGAAGGGGAGCAACAAACCTGGACTTTCAGAGTGGACAACGCATTACAAAATCAAGTGTTTTTTTTACGAAAATTGGTTTTACTACCCGGGTAATGAAAATGCAAAGGTGATAATTTTCTTAAAAATTATAAATAYGAATTTTGTAAACTGAATTTTTTTACTAATCATTAACAGGTCTTCACAGGCAACAGTGATCAAGACACATTAGTTAAACATATCTTTTTACCAGTTCCATATTTTATCATAACTAAGGCCTTGAGATTCATACCGACAAGTTATCATTCCTATAAGGCACTACGAGTGGAATTGTATGGATTGGAAGGTAAGGGGTCTAGTTTTGGGAGCTTTCTTTGGTATCGCAGTGATACATGTGTTCTAAAATCATTCAAAGTACATCATATTTACACCTACTTGCAGAAACGTTGTCATAGAAAATAGGACATTTGTATTTAGTAAAAAGGAATAAATTAAAAAGACAAAAGAAGATCATTTAGGCTGAACGCTCTCTTTTGTCTTGTTTTTATTTATTCCTTTTTACTAGATTCAAATGTTCTATTTTCTATGACAACGTTTCTGCTAGTAGGTGTAAATCTAACGAGAATAATTTGATTTATTTGGCAGCTAAATGTACGTGGATACCTGTTGGCATTGAACGCGATTTTGTTATACCAGACAGCAGTTTCTCAGCAAGCTCAACATTGATTAATACCTCCCCCAAACATGCGCGATTGATGTCACATACAACAGGCTGGATGCCGTCAACAATATCTAATCAAAATGACTACCTACAAATTGACCTCCTTGAAGTTTATCAGATCTGTGGTGTTGCCACACAAGGGAGTAATTTAGAACTATGTTGGACGAAACAGTACAAAATCTCAACTTGGTGTAGTGAAGATTGGGTAATGTACCCAAGTAATGATTCTCCAAAGGTAAGATATATACATTTTTATGACACCATTTAGAACCATTCTAACCGGGCATTAAACGGCTATTAAAAAAGGGGAAACATAAAAAACTGGAACGAAGCACACACACACAAAAAAAAAACAAGAACGCAGACATAGAAACGCAGCAAAAACAACTTTAATTTTTACAATTCCAAAATCAAGATTATTCTCAAAAAGAGTACCCATCCTGATGACCAAATATTGTACTCTGTTTCTTATTAAAAATTGCCCACTAAATATAAAGAATAAGTTAATTACTTTTTTTCAATTTTTTCCGATTCGTTGAAATATCCTTAAAGTGCACGGAAAAAGGTAGCTTTCTTCCAAATTTGAGTGTCTGTGTCATTTATAGCGGACACATAGCGATTCTATGGTCGGTTGACCACATACAATTGTAAATTTGACTTGGATCATAAAGCTCTTGAACGTACGGAGTTGGTGTAGTCACACCTAAGAGATGTTCCAAGATAGAGATCATCTTGCTCTTGGGTGGTTTCAATTTCAGCGCGAGACAGTTGCATTTGTAGGTTGGTCAAGCAGCCAACTCTCACATTTCTCACCAAAAAACTAGATTAGATTAGACTAGATTAGTTTCTGGCCCTTCCATGAATGAGTTACATTGTTTTCAAGATCCTTCAACAAACAATCGACAGTGTAAACATTGCAGTATGGTGAAAGACTGTTGAATTTGTCTGAATTGAATTGTGAACAATATTGATATAAAGAWTTATAAAAGCAATCACCGTTTTAAGATTTTGCAATACCATTACATTTCTCCTTAGATATTTGAAGGCAATAAGGACAAGAATAACATAGTTAAACATGATCTTCAAGCTCCCGTCATGTTAAAGATGATCAGGTTCATTCCGACCTCCTACCACGTGAAAAAGGCTTTACGAGTAGAAGTGTATGGGGAAAGAGGTATGCATAGTTATTATAAACTTAAAACAAAAATAACGATTCAATCAAAAGAAAAAATGAAAAATTGTACGCTCGTAATTAAACGATGATGATGAGTACGTTACCTCAATTCGTTTTCCTTCTTCCAGGTAATTGTACGCCTAGTGCAATGAGCTCATCCGCCTTGTCGAGTATGCCATCGTCTTCAGTCTTATCGCTGACTTCCAATACAATAAGCAGTTTTAGCACATCGAACAGTATGAGCGAATCTCTCTATTCATCTACAATGTTTAGTATTTCGACCAATTCTATTATTTCATTTACCGGAAGTATAGCAGCAACAACAAGTGCTGTTACCTCTGGGATTACTTATACTGCAAGTTCTCCACAGTCATCTTCATCTACTATGTATGCTAGCATAGTCAACTCCCTGGTATCAACACCAATTATAACAGCAAGCATCTCTAGTGAAAGTTTACAAACGCTTTCTGCCAGTGATTCTTCAATTWTATCAAATAATTCAGGTAAGTAACTCAATGTCTTCTGGCAGTAAATTAACGTTCGGGACCCTCTGTTTCCTCAATTCACGCCAACACTTTCTTAATTTTCCTTTAATTCTTCCAGGTAATTGGACGCCCAATGCAATAAACCCATCGACTTCATCGAGTATGTCAACGTCTTCAGTCTTATCGCTGACCTCTAATACAATGAGCAGTTTCAGCACATCGAACAGTATGAGCGAATCTCTCTATTCACCTACAATGTTTGGTATTTCGACCAGTTCTATTTTTTCATTTACCGGAAGTATAGCAGCAACACCAAGTGCTGTTACCTCTGGGATTACTTATGCTGCAAGTTCTCCACAGTTATCTTCATCTACTATGTATGCTAGCATAGTCAACTCCCTGGTATCAACACCAATTATAACAGCAAGCATCTCTAGTGGAAGTTCACAAACTCTTTCTGCCAGTGATTCTTCAATTATATCAAATACCTCAGGTAAGTGTCCTCTTCCGGAAAATTAACCGGATCGGGGCCCTCTATTTTCAAAACTCGTGTTAAAGAGATAAATGATTTTATAAAATACAAAATATAGGAAAAAACGGAATGAGCTAATACTAGGATAATATTTCTTAATTGATCCAAAGATTCAGAAGGATTTRGCACATGGAGTTCTTGGAGCAATTGCACGCACAACTGCGGTGGTGGAAATTCATCAAGAACACGTGTATGTTCAGGAAACTCTTACAGCTGCAATGGGTCTCTTATTGAGACTCGCGATTGCAACACACACAACTGTCCAGGTATGTGTTATAATCAGAACGATCATTATCACATATTGATTTTATTAAATTATAATTAGTCACATAATTACTCACAATCACTACAATGTTAACATCTTGCGGATGTCTTCTCTTCGTAAAGTTGATGGAGGATGGACCCTTTGGACCAATTGGTCGTTTTGCAGCAAAGCATGTGGAACTGGTTTCTCAATGAAAACTCGGACATGTACAAACCCATCTCCAATGTATGGTGGAAGAGATTGTTTTGGAAATGATCGCGAAGAGAAGCCGTGTAATAATCAAACATGTCCAGGTAACAGACACTTTCCCAAAATTACCAGCGCCCCATTGAAGTAGATCTCAGTAAAGCGCTTTGGAATGAATATGAATATTATATATATTTATAAAACTTATCAATAATGCATAAGCTATTGCTCCAATAAGGGCTGACCATTTAATCAGGAGATTGACCTTGTAAATCTGATACAACCACTAGTGTTGTATCAGATTTACAACACGGTCGTCACCATTGAGACAACCCAACACTAGCAAAGGTCTCAGTTTTAGTGTCGCATCATAGACCTTCACTAGGTTTTGAAGCAATCAAAGACGGCTCGAGATTGTAATTCCCATACAACACGGCCGCTCATGTTGTAAACTATACATAATTTTCAAATAACAGATAGCATATCAAAACAACAATTTTGCATTTTGTTGGGTAAATTGAGCAGATTTCATTTTTTTCACTCTGTTTCTTTACTCTTGTTGCTGTGCAGTCTAGTCGGTCGATTTAAAAAATATTAAGAAACTACATACAATGATCGCTTTTAAGCAAAAGGCGAATAGTCCATAATAATCATGAAAATGACATCTTATAACTTGCAGCTGAAACGTGTCAATTTGTTATTCGCCTAACTGAGGAACATTTTACTAACGAGCTGTTGATAACGTCTTCATCGGCATGGAATAGCTTGCAAACAAAGATTGAAAATAATGTAAGATGAACCATGTCCTTATTTTTGAGGTCTTTATGTTTTCATTACTGGTAAACAGATCTTCTTATTTGTATGTTCAAATGAATATAAAAAAATATAGTATTGCATGCATTCACTGGCATGTTCCAAAGTCTATAGCATCAGTATATTGTTTGAATCACTGAAAGGGAGATATTCATTCAGGTTACTCTGGAAGCAATCTACTTCCACTTCGATCAATACGAATACACATTGCATTAATACTAAAAGAGCTGACATAGGAACATCAGTGACTCAATGTCTTTAATTCTAATTACTGTGGAAACATGTTTCAGGCTATGATGTCCTATTCAGTTAATAGCAATGTTATGGGAATTGCTGTTATTTCGTACAGGTTAGTTACTATTACAGTCATTACATAGAAATAAATGGACTAGTAATTGCTAAATATGTCGCTTAACAGGATCGGAAGTGTTGTTAGCACCTTCAATGTCAGTTTTTCCTCGCTGGATTCAATTCAACTCCTACAAATGTTTGAGAATGTAAATATGAAAGGAAAGTTTGGGACAATGCCTTCCCATATTCTCAGCGTTACTCCTAACGCAGGTAACTACATTAAAGAATCTATCAAACAAATCTATAATCTTTATTATGGTGTTATTATGGTTATTCTGGTGTTAATACCTATATATTTTTTTTTGCTGTATTTTATGCCGTTTTCAAAAGAGATGCATTTAGAACACTTTTTAATAGAAATGTACAATATGCTGTTTTATTAAAATTCTTTAACGCATGCTCGTACCAGCCGACTTGCGCGGATTAAATGAGAAAGTCATCAGAGCTAATTATCTATTCATTAATTTCTTGTACAATTTGCACACTAAACAATGTATGCTATAAATCTTAACTTTTGATGCCATCTATCCAGTACCTTCAGATCCTCCAATAATTACCTACATAGCAAACAGCAGCTCAACAAGTATGTTGTTAAAATGGACCCTAATCACTGACACAATTGTTGTTGGCTATGCTTGCTTCTACAAAGAGGCGGGTGATCGTTTCCAACCAAATGACGTAAAATCTTCACCTGCAACTGACCATAAAATGGAAATCACAAGACTAAAAAAATTTACCAACTACACGTTTGTGCTTCTTGCATTTAATTCTAATGGCAATGGTGTTCCTGGTGAACTTTTATCTAGAAAAACTGACGAAGACGGTAAGACGCTATATTCATGGATATATAATTATAACAATATAGTTAACAAATGTAAAACGAATTCCCTTTGGTACCATGATCAAAGAACAAGTTATAAAAAGAGACACGAGAGGAGGAAACCACAAACTTGATCTTTTCAGTGAACCAAACTTTCTGATACCATTCTATTCATAGTCGAGTTCTCAATAATTTACGAGGAGCCGACGRATTCCTGGCAGAAGTCTGATATATGTTCTTATTTCCCAGCCAGCTGTAAGTCACAGCTGGTTGCCAGCAATAATTTAGGGAAAGAAGCGTTTGCCACAAAATTATTTTAGAGAAGGAAGGGCGCCACATTTGCTTGTGAGATTGTCAATGTAGCTCAAAATAACTTTCCCAGAAAAAATTCGTACAAGAAAAGTTATTTAGAAGAACAGACCCCGTCGGCTCCTCCTGGTGATAAATAAAACTAGTAGCTATCTATATGTGCGTTACATACACGTCTAAGTTTGTGCAGACGAAGAGTGGTTGAATGAAACAACATAATGACAAGAGAAATGGCGAAGCGCAGTAGCTACCCCCGCAGCCAATTTATCATGGGAAACCTAAAATCTGACTATATAAAATACAGTTTCGAATAATTAATAAATAATCGTTAATTCAGGAATCAAAGTTGGCATTGATCTTTCAGTTTTTGCATTGTTCAGTAGTATATAAATATATCAATTTCAGTTCCAAGCAAGGCACCAGGAAACGTAAAAGTAAGAGTATTATCATCCACTGAGCTGCAAGTCACGTGGGATGCTATACCCGCTGAATACATACATGGTATATTACTGGGTTACAACATCACATATGTTAAACACGATTGGGATAATGTATATAGAACTAACTACTCCTTGATACCGTCAACAACGCATAGTTTACAACTTGAAAACCTAGGAAAGTATATGGTTTATACTCTATCAGTATGTGGATATACCTCTAAAGGTTGCGGTGTTTCAAGTGAAAAGACTGTTAGAACAGCGGAAGATGGTAAGCATCGTTTCTATTGATTTCTATTTTTATCATATTTATTAAAAATTTAACAACATTTTTCCAGTTCCAACAGAACCACCTCAAAACTTTAAAGTCAAAAATCTCACTTCTACATCAAGTATTTCAATTACATGGAACCAAGTTCCACGCGACCAGATCAACGGTAGACTTTCCGGCTATATTCTCCGTTATCAGATGACAAGTTACCGTGGAATACAAGTGTCTGATGCAGTGGTTAAAACTCGATACCTAGCAGTGTCAGAGACAAGTGTGCTTATATCTGGACTCTCAGCATTTAGCATTTGGAGATTTGAAATGGTTGCCAAGACCTATGCAGGTGAAGGTGTATCAACTAAGACTGTTTATGGAGGTGTGTAGAGTTATATCGTTTTCTTAACCAGAGGCTTTTGTAAAAAACGATTAACGGAAACGCCTCGCAGCTGCGAGGCAGGGACCCAAAAAAGTGTTTAATTTGCTTTTTATCTGGAATTGTAAACTAGAATTATTATCGGAATTTTTAAACATATTTTTATGCAAATGATAACTGAGCAACGTTAATGGGATTGATTTGATGTGTTTTGATATATAGTATTCTTTTCTTCTTTAGAAACCTGTAAATGTCCAAAGACCCTTTATACCAATTACTTCGTTCTACCACCTTACCTGACTAAAACCAAGCGAGGTTACAGTGGAGTTTTCTACCAAGTTGCAACTAATATGATGTCATGGTCTTGTGGAAACTGCATAAATGGACACGGGAAAACATTGATCGATTTAGAAAACAACGGCAAAGGGGGTGTTGCAGGAAAGATAGGAGCTACCAGTCTTCTCAATGATATCGATGATGTGCCACAAATCTCGTTTCCGGTGTATGGTAATCAATACATGGAGAAGTACATGGGGCTATATGACTATTTCCACTTGATGAACTCGCCTGGTGTGGCATTCATAACAATTGACGACCCTCAAGGGACAGGAGCGAAACATATTATGACGTCAGTCCTCGCCTGCCTGCCATTTATGGCCATTGCAGTGACAATGGCTTTGTTGGCTGGAGCAATTGTCTGGATTCTGGTAAAACTTGTCTAATGACTCCTTTTTCTCTTTTTATTACAAAATAAATTAATAAGCAACTCCATGAAACAAGTTATTAAAGCAAGTACCCATGATGCTATTTGAGCTGCTTAGAGGACTAGAGAGCAAAAAACATATTTGGTCACTGATTTTTTCTCATATTCGATATCATAAATAGGGCGTTTTTTAAGTCTTTAAATGGTTGACTCATGGCTTAAAGATATAATATTTGCTTTTACAGGAGTCCCGCAGTAATCCAGAGCAGTTTGGCTCAACAGTCTTGCAAGGAATTGGAGAAGGTTTCTGGTGGGCGTATATATCTATGACAACCGTGGGGTAAGTATAGTATAACTGTTTCCAGTGGTTATTTAATCCAAGCTTGCAATCTCTTCCTTAGATAATAATGTAGCATTGAATTCAATGAACGCAGTCGATCGATAGCGTTGTTACCTAAATTCAAATAGTAGGAAATGTCCAACTCAATTTRGATTGGTTGGGGATTCATGTTAATGTCGAATCGGTGTTTATAGCCCACGTGTAAGTATTCACTAGAATGCAGCTACTGTAGCATTGCTTGCAAAATATAGTTAATACACTGATGGACAWTAACTGACATATATTATATATATCTAGGTACGGTGATAAGTTTGCTCTAACAATTATTGGTCGTATTTTCTCGATTCTTTGGACTCTCACTGGTTTGGTAATCATATCAATCTTGGTTGGATCAATTTCTAGCGCGCTGACAACCGTSACAGTGAAGAAGGATATCATACTTTATGGTGCGAAGGTTAGTTTGAAATCGCCGCGGACATGTTTGATCGAGGCAATTTTTAATTGTCATTTGGGTAGATATTTCCCCTAACCATAAACGATTAATGACAATTTATAAAGAATTAACTACCAAATATAATCGATGCAAACAAACAAACAAACAAAAACCTAGGAATAAACAAATCGCAATGTTAAGAGTCCATAGTCGTACAATCGTAAAGGCCCTTAAAAAATGCTCAGTTATTACATTTATCTTTTTCCTTTTTTGATTATAATTCTAATAATTTCATACAGACTTAAAAAAATATCCTGTTTTTAGAACGCAAAAATAGTAGTTATAGTTATAATAATAATCGATGTAAAGATAAATCAATTAAGTAATTAAAACTTGATGTGAAAGTGTACGAGGTTTACGAGCTATACACCTACTTGCAGAAACGTTGTCATAGAAAATAGAACATTTGAATTTAGCAAAAAGGAATAAATTAAAACAAGACAAAAGAGAGCGTTCAGACTAAATGATCTTCTTTTGTCTTTTTAATTTATTCCTTTTTTACTAAAATACAAATGTCCTAATTTTTTTTGACAACGTTTTCGCAGGTTATATTATTTATAGAATTAACTTAACTTTCCACTGCTTCACAAGGTTGGTGCAATCCAAAACTCTTCAGAACATCGGCTTGGAATTCTAAGAAACGCCAAAGTGAATAAAGGTTAGAAAAGTTCTTAAAAAGTACCGAGAAAAAATTGCGTAAAAAAATGTAGTGTACAATAGTCTCCTTCACGGTTAACTGCGCCATCTTGAAAGGTAGCCGTGCCTTTGTATCGAAGTGAGACGACCGTTTAGCGTGCAATGATAGAAACCTTCTTTCACACCTACAGACTATTATTCACAGGTATCTATCATTGCAGGCTCAACGGTTATCTCGCTTCCATGTAAAGGCACGGCTACCTTTCAAGGCGGCTCAAGTAACCGTGAAGGAGACTATTATCAGAACGCTGTCACCTTTGATATCCTTTGAGGGCTTACTTTTTTTAATGTTGAGAATTTCTTATTAACAGTAGTGTTATTTCATAGATTTTCAGTGCCAAAACGTCTTTGAATTAAAAGAAGCATTAAAAGCGCGTGAAATTCAAGGAATCTTGCTGGATCTCTTCGTCGCAGCTGATATTCAAGACGAACTCTTTGATTCTGATGTGAAAGTGAGCAAATTGTTGGAATATTCATTTGGCTATGGTATGACATCAATATGTAGACATGGCATATTCATTTTTTTCCGGTCCGGTGTCCTAGTCACATTCGCGCACTGATTGGCTAGCGCGCGGGCCGGTATTTGACGATCTGACCGTTCCACGGTATCCTGCATAACATAGAAATATGAAAATAAAAATGTTATTTACCGGCTATAGGTGGGTCCGTATAGCAAAACACTGCCCTCGTTCTTTTATGTACGGACCGATAGCAGCGGGCAGTGTTTTCCTATACGGACCTCCCAGCCTGTGCATAGCATATATACACCTATTTCAAAAAACGTTGTCGTCGCAAGGACACAGTCCACAGTCTTGAGCCTGCAGAGAATCTCGGGGTTTCCATGCGTAATTAATATATTCAAAATATTTTGTGGTTTGAATTCAATGCCGGCAAGCACTACTAATATACTATAGCGGGCATGTCTCGCCATGAGACATTTTCCTTGAAAAATATTCCACCCTTTTCAAACCGTCAATGAGTTTCAAATCTTTATTCGCTACGAGATCGAGAATAATCCAGTTTCGAATTCTCTAATGCTCTGTGTCAGCTTCATTTATGCGCAAAATATTCCTAATTGTGCTAAATAAAAGTGTGAGATTTCAAATCAATTCTATTGTCTCTCTTTTAAAATTCCATGCGTTTTCTCGAGCTATCAATGAAACAAAAGAATATGTTACTTGGTTTTGAGGCTAACACAGAGCAAACCAGAACTCTAAATCGCAGTATTTTTTAAAAATAACTAAAATTAAATTTATAGCGGAGCTCCCGCGCGGGACGAAGGCCCGCGCGAGCGGAGCACCATAGCTAAGAAAAAATGGTATACCATCGAGTCGATTTTCCATGGACCGACACAGGGTTCCCGCGCGTACGCACGTTTCCGTCCGTCCGTCCGTCCGTCCGTCCTTCCGTCCTTCCGTCCTGGATTCCGTGTACCACCACAGGAAACCCATACTCCGCTCGAAAAGGAAACAAAGCGCCAAGTATTTGTTGAAAAATCGAAATTTTTTCCTTAAACATTTATATTACATATTGATAATATTAGAACAATTAATAACAAGGAAAAAATCCACTGAAGAGCGAAATAACAGCACAGAAATATTCCCGCCAATTTTGTCATAACTTCGACGCGTCCGCACATCCGGGAAATCGATTTGCGAAGATGAAAAGCAATTTAGGCCCATCTTAAAAGTGATATTAGAAA